AAGGTTGATAAAGTCTTTTCAAGCAGCTCGGCCTCTGTAATGTTCTGCTTACAGAGATTCAGCTGTGAAACAATACGATGTAGGGCCGAATTATATTCAGTGACGGATTTAAAGTCCTGAAACCGAATATTAAGCCAGTCATATTGAGCTTGAGGGAGAATAATGGCCATTTGTTGGTCAAACCGATCCTTCAGGGATTTCCAAAGAGTGGCGGGATCTTTTTCAGTGAGGTATTCATTTTTCAGATCTTTATTTAGATGGTGACGGAGAAAAATCAATGCTTTCGCCTTCTGGGCGAGAGTGCTCTGAGATTTAGAATCAATTGTGCCACTTAAGTCAAATGAGGCAAGGTGAATCTCAACATCAAGGGCCCAAGTCAAATAATTATTCCCATCAAGGGCGAGCTCAGCAAATTCTCTTTTGGTGATATCAGACATCTATAATGTATTCAAAAACAAGAAACAATGTCTTAAATAATTCAATAACAAAATTGATAGAATTGAATTTAATCCAAATACATCACTTTAAATATTCATCATAGTAAAGTTGCAACTAATTATAACAATGTGAAAGAATGCATTACACAAAATAGTTTCAAACCAAACAAATCAGAAGTGAATTCAATTACATAGATTCCAAAGCAAAGAAATCCTATTGAATATTTGATGAACAATAATAAAAAAAATCAATTTGGAATCACAACATATATATATTTTTAATAAAAAAAATGAACAAAGAATGCATTCTCTGTTCAACAGAAACACAACATATATATATATTTCTAAACGAACAGAAACACAACATATATATATTTTTAATAAAAAAAATGAATACATAACAAAGAATGCATTCTCTGTTTACGTCACGTGAGAATTAAATTTTCTTTTTTATTTTTTTTGGTAACAAAACAAAATCAACAGAGGATCAAATTTTGCTGAATTGCAACAGAACAATCATTCAGAATTTGAAGAATACATAGGCAGGAAACCAAAAACAAATAGCTTACAAGCAACAAAAATAAATCATTCAAAATTGATATGGAATATGAAATGATGTATTGACATAGACATACGATGTCAGAAATAAATCCAGCGGCAAAACATGAATTGATATGGCAACGATGAATCGACACAATAAATTACTGAGCAATTGTAGATCGAAACAATTCAGTTCTCAATCAAGCATGTCAATTCACAAAAGGGATTGAGAGTACCTTGATAGAATAACACAATTCTTTCCTAGGGCAACACCAACAAATTGTAGATTAGAGCGTGCTGATAACGTGTTGTAAATTGGAACTCTTAATCTTCAACAAGCATCCATCAATCCAAGCATAAGATGTGCAGTAAAGAGAACGATAAAAGAGAAGCAGAAAAGTGTGTAATTTTATTCATTGGTATTCACTCTTTTATAGAGTTTACAAAGGGAGAAACCCTAAAACCTAATCCTACTAACTAATGGACTTCAGGCCCAATTATATATTAGTAATGTCCATATTAATATATTTATAACAATTGCATTATCTGATATTATGCCTATGATGTATTCTTACTTCATTAATTGAGAACAGTTATATATATATTGGGAATTCATTAAGTAGGATTTGTTCTTGTGAGAAATTGTATCTTAATTTTGCTATTCCGTTGCATGTGCAGTTGATGGATGCTTGGTATAAAAGTTACTTTATAGAAATTGTCAATACACTTTGCACTATATAAATGTCAAATATTCGATTGGCGGAAAGGGAATAAAAATACAATACAAGGATAACCAGAAAGGAATCCATTAAATAGGATTTGTTCTTGTGATAAACTGAATTATTAATTTTGCCGTTGCATATGTAGACCCTTAGGTTCAAAAGTTTAAGCATTCATTTGATATTTCGAGTAACATTTAGAGACTTTTTGATATTTAAATTTTTTTAAGACTTTTCAAATTTTGGACTAGTTATGCGAAATCTTAAGTATGAGGTGAGATTTGAAGTGAGAATTCGTATATGTTTTTTTTCTTTATAAATTCCAACAAATCTAAAAAAGTATTAACAAATATGGTATCAAACAAGTTAAATACCTCATTAATTTGCAATATTTTTTAAAATTTCAAATGAATAATTCAAGACTTTTACAATACTTTAAAAATTTAAATTAAATGCAACAAGATTTCTGAAGTTTTTAAAAAACATAATTGAGCTCACCAAAAATTCTAAGGAGCTGTCAGATGGTTTTCTCATGTAACGATCAATCACTTATTGTAATGACACATGTCCAAAATATATATTTATTGTAAGACACGTGTCAATACACTATTTGTGAATAACTATATATGACTACATAAATCGAGTCATGACTCCATAACAAAATTAAATTCACCCCTTAAATTGTCAATACACTTTGGTGTGAAATATTCGATTGGTTGAAAGGAAATAGATGCAAAGATAAAATGAAAGCTCCACACATACATATTCTTCGTTCTGTGATGCATATGCTAAGTAGCCTTGATTAGGGCCGTGGTAAAGGTCATCCCACATGACAACACATATGGCCTCACCTCTCTGCTAGTGTCCATCAAAATTCTTCCATACCACACTTTCTTTTTTTTTTATTTTTTTTATTAT